CCCTCCCACCTCCCCCCCCATCCCATCCCTCTGGGTCTTCCCAGTGCACCAGCCCCGAGCACTTGTCTCATGCATCCAACCTGGGCTGGTGATCTGTTTCACCCTTGATAATAGTATACTTGTTTCAAAGCTGTTCTCTCAGAACATCCCACCCTTGCTTTCTCCCACAGAGTCTTGCAGGCAGATACTTTAAATAAAATGAAATATTATATTGTACACTGAGTCTCATAAATGGACAAAATTAGTTATGTATAATTAAAAGTAAGCCTTGAGATAAGAAAGTGTTTAGATATAAAAATATGATTTTGCTGTATCATAGGTTTGTCTTATATGAAACTAATATGATGCTTCCTATCAGAGATTAATGAGATTATTAGTTAAAAATAGTTTACTTCTTTGATTTTAGTGAATTTTTAAAAAATGATATGGCTTAAAGATCTCCAGTATCTTCAAAAGGCAAGCTATCTAGGGAAGTTTGAATAGATATCCTTTTTTTTTTCTTTTTTTTTTCGTGAATTTCTCAGAGACAACAAAGGATGTTAATTTTTCCCCATTTTCATCCATCTGTCTTTCTGTTCATTCTTACATCCGTCAAGTCACCAGGTATTTACTGAGTACTTGTTGTGTGCTGAGCCGGAGATACTGGAAATATAGTCATCGGTGGGATGTGGTATCTTCCCCTTTGTGCCTGATTGTTTTTCTCTCTGTTTCAGCTCTTTGTTTTCTCATCTCTTTGGTTCTCTTTCCATTTCTCTCTGAAGCAAAGTCTATATAGGCTCCTCAATTTATTTGGCAAAAGATTTTTACTGTTCAGTCAAATGTAAAAGTCTTAGTACAGCAAGACAAATATGCATCTGTGACCCATTTACTAAAAAAAATACACCTCGGGAAAAGAGATTCCAAGTTAGCAATTGAAGAAGGGAGTAAAGCTAACACAAGTTTCCAGTAACCTGTAGTAATTCTGGTTAAATGTCTCTCTATTCTTGCATTTCAGTTCTGCTAATGTTACTTTACTCTGCTTTTCTTCTCTTCAAGAGGAACCCAGATGATTATAACAAAGTGGATTTGATGTCTAAGATGAGCATTCAAGGAATGGAAAGTATTTAAATAGGGCTGGAAAAGTGACTGCAAGTTAGGGAGTGGGGGTGGCCATTGGTAATGGCAGGAGATGTGGCTCAAGAGGTAAGCAACTCTTACAGCTATCGCGGGGATCTTGAACTTTATCCTGAAGGCACAGGGAAGTCTCTTAAGGTTTGTTTGTTTGTTTTTTTAATCAAGGGCGTAACATTATCCCATTTACTTCTTGGAAAGGTTGTTTGTAAGAGAGATAAGTATGATTTGTGACAGGATTGTGAAAGTTTTAGAAATCTGGTTAGTTACCCAGACTAGGAGATGGTGAAAAGTGTATAGACTCCAAACAACAGATTTTGTGGTTGAATGTGGGTGCCATGCGTTACACATTGCTCTGGGCTTCCGTTACTTGCGTGTCTTGAGGACTGTGGTGACATTAACTGAGCAGTGGGGAAACTGCAGGGTGTTAAGCAGGTCTTCACTTAAGGCTTTGGGTACAAATTTGAACAAATCCTTTACAATTATGCAGTGGAAGTGAGAAATAGATTCAAGGGACTAGATCTGATAAATAGAGTGTCTGAAGAACTATGGACGGAGGTTCGTGATACTGTACAGGAGACAGGGATCAAGACCATCCCCAAGCAAAAAAAAAAAAATGCAAAAAGACAAAATGGTTGTCTGAGGAGGCCTTACAGAGAGCTGTGAAAAGAGAAATGAAAGGCAAAGGAGAAAAGGAAAGATATGCCCATTTGAATGCAGAGTTTTAAAGAATAGCAAGGAGAGATAAGAAAGCCTTCCTCAGCGAGCAATGCAAAGAAATAGAGGAAAACAACAGAATGGGAAAGACTAGAGATCTCTTCAAGAAAATCAGAGATACCAAGGGAACGTTTCATGCAAAGATGGCCTCAATAAAGGACAGAAATGGTATGGACCTAACAGAAGCAGAAGATAGAAGAGGTGGCAAGAACACAGAAGAACTATACAAAAAAGATCTTCATGACCCAGATAATCATGATTGTGTGATCATTCACCTAGAGCCAGACATCCTGGAATGTGAAGTCAAGGGGACCTTAGGAAGCATCACTACAAACAAAGCTAGTGAATGTGATGGAATTCCAGTTGAGCTATTTCAAATCCTGAAAGATGATGCTGTGAAAGTGCTGCACTCAATATGCCAGCAAATTTGGAAAACTCAGCAGTGGCCACATGTCTGGAAAAGGTCAGTTTTCATCCCAATTCCAAAGAAAGGCAATGCTAAAGAATGCTCAAACTACCTCACAATTGCACTCATCTCACATGCTAGTAAAGTAATGTTCAAAATTCTCCAAGCCAGGCTTCAACAATACATGAACCATGAACTTCAGATGTTCAAGCTGGATATAGAAAAGGCAGAGGAACCAGAGATCAAATTGCCAACATCCGTTGGATCATGAAAAAAGCAAGGGAGTTCCAAAAAAACATCTACTTCTGCTTTATTGACTATGCCAAAGCCTTTGGCTGTGTGGATCACAACAAACTGTGGAAAATTCTTAAAGAGATCGAAATACCAGACCACCTGACCTGCCTTCTGAAAAATCTGTATGCAGGTCAAGAAGCAATAGTTAGAACTGGACATGGAACAACAGACTGGTTCCAAATAGGAAAAGGAGTACGTCAAGGCTGTATATTGTCACCCTGTTTATTTAACTAATATGCAGAGTACATCATAAGAAACACTGGGCTGGAGGAAGCACAAGCTGGAATCAATATTTCCGGGAGAAATATCAATAACCTCAGATATGCAGATGACACCACCCTTACACAAGCTGGGAGCTGACTGTGGCTCAGATCATGAACTCTTTATTGCCAAATTCAGACTTAAATTGAAGAAAGTAGGGAAAACCACTACACCATTCAGGTATGACCTAAATCAAATCCCTCCCAATTATACAGTGTAAGTGGCAAATAGATTCATAGCTGTATACTGTCACCCTGCTTATTTAAGTTATATGCAGAGTACATCATGAGAAATGCTGGACTGAATGAAATATCAATAACCTCAGATATGCAGATGACACCATTCTTACGGCAGAAAGTGAAGAATTAAAGATCCTCTTGATGAAAGTGAAAGAGGAGAGTGAAAAAGTTGGCTTAAAGCTCAACATTCAGAAAACTAAGATCATGGCATCCTGTCCCATCACCTCATGGCAAATAGATGGAGAAACAGTGGAAACAGTGGCAGACTTTATTTTCTTGGGCTCCAAAATCACTGAAGATGATGACTGCAGCCATGAAATTAAAAGACTGTTGCTCCTTGGAAGAGAAGTTATGACCAACCTAGACAGCATATTAAAAAGCAGAGACATTACTTTGCCAACAAGGGTCCATCTAGACAAAGAAAGCTATGGTGTTTCTAGTAGTCGTGTATGGATGTGAGAGTTGGACTATAAAGAAAGCTGAGTGCTGAAGAATTGATGCTTTTGAACTGTGGTATTGGAGAAGACTCTTGAGAGTCCCTTGGACTGCAAGGAGATCCAACTAGTCCATCTTAAAGGAAATCATTCCTGAATATTCATTGGAAGGACTGATGCTGAAGCTAAAACTCCCAATACTTTGGCCACCTGATACGAAGAGCTGACTCATTTAAAAAGACGCTAATGCTGGGAAAGATTGAAGGCAGGAGGAGAAGGGGATGACAGAGGATGAGATGGTTGGATGGCATCACCGACCCAATGGACATGAGTTTGAGTAAACTCCCGGAGTTGGTGATGGACAGGGAGGCGTGGTGTGCTGCAGTCCATGGGGGTGCAAAGAGTCAGACATATGTGAGCAACTGAACTGAACTTCTAGAAATTATCAGAGTAACATTTAAAATTCTCTTACTAAAAACTTTGTTGTGAGCATTTGGTAAAGAAATACTTACCACAACTGACTTTTATAGTTAATTTCCTGTGCTTTCTCCGTCTTTCCTAATGACAGCAGGAATCACCTTGCAAAGAGATAGAGATCACAAAAAACAGCCTTAAGTGAGAGAGAGAGAGAGAGAGTGCTGGTGACCGAGGATGGCATTGACTGTTCATTGTATTGGTTCATAAACCTTTCGCCTCCATCACCCACTGGCAGAAAGCCTGAATGGAAGGAGAAGGGGAAAACATTAGCTTACAGTTGCATAACATCCTGATTTGGAGAATTCTGGGGTCATAATTGCTACTGGGTTCCAGTTCTAGTTCTGCTACATAACTAATTGTGAGATCTTGGACAAATTTTTTTTCATCTCTTTGTGTCTGTTAATTTGTTCATCTGCAAAATGGAGATAATAATGGTAGTAACCTCATTTTAAAGTCTTCAGTTATTATATGTGGCACTGTTATTATGAATGGTTTTCTTTCAGCAGATGGAATGAGCAAAGCCTCAGGTAATGGGCAGCATCTTAATAAATGCGGGGACTAATGGAATTATAATGATGTTTCTGTCCTGTATCCATGATTTTAGACTCATTAGGGAACACATAGCATATTGAGTGGGTCCTTGTAATATGTTCGTTCTAAGGAGAACATGTCATAGTGGTAGCAGCAGTGGCAGTGAGGAGAATGGTAAGAATAGCTTGTATGTAGCATCCATATCCACCTGATGAGGTATGGATACTTCTTGGTCTCACTTTTACCATTGAGGAGCCTGGTTGTTACATGAAATAGCCACTCAAGACAAACAGCCAGTGAGTCCTGGAGCTGGGGTGCAATCCAGCTGGTTGAACTTCAAACCCTTCGCTGCTTAGTCACCACCCTGATTGCCTCTGCAGTGTGTTTAAATAGTCCCTGTTCCCTCAGCAGCCCCCTCACAAAAGAGCAGAAACCGGCTACGTTCCATTAAAGGTGACAGGTTTCAGGGTCTGAGCCTTCAGACCACACAGTGGAGGAAAGCATCACCCTCTCTTTCCTGTTTCCCGGCAGGTACCAGTTCTTCCTGCAGGTGAAGCAAGACGTTCTTCAGGGCCGCCTGCCCTGCCCCGTCAGCACCGCCGCCCAGCTGGGAGCGTACGCCGTCCAGGGTAGGCTTCGTTTAAGCGGGCTTGCCTCAGGGGTCTTGAGAACGATGTTTGGATTTGTCTTTTTAAGCAGGTTTATAAACTAAATGACACTTTGCTGAAAAGAAATCAAATTTAGTCAGAATTCCAGCTTTAATCAGTATGCCTTCAGAAGAGGTAAACTGCATATCCCTGATAGTAGGTCCCATGGAGTTTTAGTCATAGGAGTGGCGTTGATTCTTGAGTCAGTGGAGAGCCTGAAAATCTGTTCTATTCTACATTCTGCCTAAGTTGATCAATCCCTCATAGCTACTGTGTCTCAGAGATCCCATTGATTTCGAGCAGCTGCTGTGAAGACTCCACAGGGGCAGGTGCCATCACCAGTTTAGTGTGTTGCCTACAGTCAACACCCATTGTCCATTAGCTCTTGGCATCAATATGGCCGCCATATTGAGGGGGCAGCTCCAGGTTGCATTGTCATTTTGGAGGCTGAAGCTGAGGCTGTCTTCTATTTATAATTACGGAGCCCCTTCAAGGAATCAAGCTAGGTATGGGGTGATGAGACAGTATGTTCCTTGCCCGTGTAGGTCTTGCAGACCAGAAATAATCTAGAAAAAATAGTCCCAGAAAAATGCTGTGTAAATGAACTGGGGAACTGGGTTGGGCTTGGAAGCTGGATTAATGTAGGAAGAATTTTTATAAGCATAACATAGTGAATTCTCTGGTTTCATTTTGTTCTTTGTGTAAACTGTAGTGGGGTTATGTGCAACATCATATTCTATTTCCATGACCATTATTTGGGGCAAATATGTTTTGAACCACATGCTTTATCTCTTGATGTCCTTGTCAGAGAGAGGATCTGGTTGTTTTTCACCTCAGGCATTTCCATTATATGTGCTTTAAATTCTGTTTACAACATTGTACTTCATATAAACTGGTAAGGCTAAGTTAAATGAAAATGATAGTTGTAGTCTCACAGAAAGCAAAAATGTTATGTTTTTTAGATATGATTTTGTTGATATTCTCTATATAAGCTCATCAGAGTTGTTTTAAACTAAAATTAGTTACCTTATATAAATTTATTAATAAAGCATTTGAAGAAAATGTTTAAGCATGATAGAAATACTTTTATTCTTGTATTTTTAGGTATTCCATTTTCCTAAAATGGAAAAAAATTACATTTTCTCTTTTTTTAGCTGAACTCGGAGATTATGATCCATATAAACATACTGCAGGCTATGTGTCAGAGTACCGATTTGTTCCTGATCAGAAGGAAGAACTTGAAGAGGCTATAGAAAGGATTCATAAAACTCTAATGTAAGAAGCACATTTTATTAACAATAATCAGCATGTTGTACATTAAAGCCTCAGAACTTGATTTTATAACTGAAAGTTTATATTCTCTGACCATTATGTCTTTGTTTCACATACACACACCCCTCCCCTCCCCCAGCCTCTGGTAACTGGCATTCTAGTCTCTGTTTTCATGAGGTCTCCTTTTTTAATTCCACATACACAGTATTTGTCTTTATCTGTCTTATGTCAGTTAGCATTATGCCCTCACAGTGTATCCATACACTTGAAAATGGCTAAGAGATTAGATCTTAAACGTTAGCACAACAAAAAAGAGCCATGCTGTGGTGGTGATCATTATACAATATGTATTTAAATGTATCAAATCAATGTTCTACACCTTGAACTTACATAATGTTATGTGTCAATTATATCTCAATAAAGCTGGAAAAAAAAGAATCCCATTTTACATTGCCTCAACGATCATCTTATACTATTTACAGGCTTAAGAAAAGTTTCTTATTCTATGTTTGAACATTTTTTCTTTTTAAAGATTTTTGGTGTTTTTTTTTTTTACTGCTTATAACACTAAAATGCTCATAGGAAACCCAGACAATTTAAAAAGGAAAAAAAATAAGTGTAAAAGAGTAAATCCTAATACTTAAAGTCAGTATATTTTTAGTCAGTGGCCTTTCATAATTTCCCATAGAGAAAATTTATTTTGCATGAAAATTTATTTTATATAGAAAGTTTATTTTATATAGATTTATGTATGTATGAAATGAAATACATAAATGTATGTATGTATGAAATGAAATACATAAATGTATGTATTAAATGAAATATATAAATGTACTGATGTATGTATGACATACATAAATGAAAGCATTCTGTACACACTATATTTTACAATTTTATATTTTTTTTCAGTCATCAGTACCTTGTGAAATTAATATTTTTAAACTATGAATACATTTTATAACCACAAAAGCCTTCATGTATTCTGGATTTGCTGTCTTAAGTATGTAAATTCTTCACAGTTACAAGCAAACCCTGTTCAGTCTTTAGCAATGAATCTGGAGATCATGACACCAGTGTGGCTTTTAACACCACATGCAGTTCTGAGAAATATACACACTCCACTAGTAGGATTTTCAATTAATGACCTGCAGCATTGAAATTATAGTTTAATTATAGATATTTTGTGAAATTTCCTATACTGATTAACTTTGCCTTTATTGCCTCTTATGTAACTTTCCCTCTTGAATTTGCTTGGTTTCAGAACTACCATACTTAAGAGAAAAAAATGTAGAATTAATCTGGTCAACAAAAAAATGTTTGCCTAAAGGATTTGTTTCAATGAGTAGCAGCAGAAGTTGCAATCAGAGAAACCAGGCTCTCCACCTTGTATTCTAGTCTTGTTCTAGAGTCCTGCATTATAAGGTCTCACTGAAATGAGTGCTAAAAGAATGCCTGTTACAAAATTATGAAGGGCAGTGTATTTGGCACATTCTGAGAATACTAATTGTTCTAGGAGTTCTCAAGTACAATTAAATTATGTTTTGAAACTATCAAGGAGCTTTGGCAAAGCACCCTGTCTGTTTTATGTGATGGCATTGACAGCCTGGTGGTCACTCTTAAGAGGCTAAAGCTCAATCAGTATTTGGTAGCTTTTTTGTGTCTAATTAGTGGTAAACATTCTTCATAGATTTCAAAAGTATTACTTTGCTGGGTTTTCCAGAGTACCATGGCTGAAACATGGGATTGCCTTGAAGTACGTTTCAATATTTAAAAACTCCTTTTGTTAATCGTTAAAAATCTCTTTTCTCACGCTCGCTCTCTGTCTTTCTGTCTCACACACACACACAGAGTTCCACTTAATCCGTGGAGATTCTTGGCAGATGCTTATCCTCATTAGGAATGAATGCTGTTTTCTGTATACTATCACCGATGAAGAGTTGGGGAAGATTTTAAGAAAAGTGGCAAGCATTTTGTGTTGAGAAAGCGACAGTTTCTGAAGAACTGCACATGTGCTCAGGAAATGCTGCTGGGTCTGGCTGCTTGTCGAGGAGTCCACACTCTTACTTCCACCACTGCTCTCCTCCGCTTGCTTCCCGATGGAGAGCTGCTGGAGCATGGAGACATTTTACTCTTTGCAAAGGGGTGTGCTTTTTAATTGGAGTGCTTATATGCTCAACAATCTCTTTGGGATTTCTGAAACTGAGACTTCTTAATTATGTGGAGCTATTGGAATTGGCTATAATGGGCAAAACTAGATTTGGTAAATGAAACTTACAAGTATCACCTCAAAATGTAAAATTTTGTCACCAGGAAGGCAGGAGGCTTCTTGAAATATGAAGGCTTAAGTCTGCATTAGCACAAAGAATTATTTATTTTCCATTGAATATAGTGAAAGTGGTTTATATTCCCTGTGAGCACAGTAGATGCAAGTAAAGTAAGGCTGTTTTGTTTTTATGCTGGGTGCAGGGGTCAGGCTCCTTCTGAAGCAGAGCTGAATTACTTGAGGACTGCCAAGTCCCTGGAGATGTATGGTGTTGACCTCCATCCTGTCTATGTGAGTAACATTTAATTAACACAGAATATTTTAAGCTGATGACATTTTCTTAAAAAGTCACTGAAACTCCCAAAGGAAAGCAGCAGTCCTGTTGTTTAGTGAGCAGAGGATACTTTTCCATCTGAGTTTTTGAACATAAAGAATCTTCTGCGTCGTTTAAATCCTAATGAGTTTTGCATAAAAGTCTGTGATTGTATTTCCGTGTATAGAAAACAATTAACTGGCTTGAAAACACAATCTGGATAATAATTCCAGAGGGGTTAGCTAAATGTCAAAACAGTTTTAAATTAGTCTATAGTTGATTATATTAGACAGGAAACAGGAGGATTTTCCAAAAATAGAGTTTATGGCTGAAATGCATTCATAAAAACACCTGCATGGCAAAGTAGACTTTAGGCAACAGTACATGTATAACTGTTGGTGGTTTTATGTTGGATGTGCAGGTGTTATCAATATTAGGGTCTGCCTACTGTAGTTATTGCCATTGCATAAATAGGAACATTTTTACAGATTGTCTTCTGTGGCTGATGAAAGCTTTCTGAATAGGATCGGTGGACACTTTCACTAAATCTGCACTGAGTTTTCTGGATCAGGTCTTCAACTTTGAGACACTTTTCTAAGGTTACCAATTGGTTCTTCTATGCCCATGAGATTGGAATGTCATTGTCTTTGATTTTGTGAGTTTAGTTAGCAATAAACAAATTTGATTATTTGAGAAAATGAATCAGATGTTTTATTTACATGAAATGAATTACTAAAGAGTGTATGTGGATTGAATGCTTGTAATTGAATTATGGACTCAGAACTCAGTTTTTAAGAAATCCTGATGATACTTACTGTAATGCAGGCACTAATTGATGTATTCATTTTGTAATATGTCTTTTGCTCATAAGAGTCTCAGAGTTTCCCAAAACAAATCATTTCATATTATTTGTAAAAAACTAGAAGCATCCCTGTGTATACTGTTAATATGGCAATAAAAGTTACATATTTGGTAGAAGTAGTTGTTCCCTGATAAATTATAATCTAATCTCATTAAACCATTAAATGCTCCATCCTCCTGTCCTTTAAAACTACTTCTAAAGCTTTGTGGAATAGTTCTCTTTTTCTCTTCTTGCCACATTAATCTTGTTAGGTTTTCAGTTTTTTAAAAAGTATATTTTATAGGGAATGTATAAAGAGGGTCTTCTGTAAAATACCTCTACATTTGTATAATGTTCATCCTAATTCAAAAAGCAAATTTTCTGTGGGAGGTGGAAATTTATGGCAAATTAATCAGATTCATTAGTATCTTCCATATATTGCTTTAAAATTGAATTGAATAGAACTAAAAATAGGTTACAGCTGATTTTCTTTGAAAATATATTTATCTTATGTTACTTGGGAATTTAACTTTGCAGGCTGTTATTTGACTTTAGAATCGAAAAAAGATGAATACAAACTCAATTCCCTGTCTGATATGCACTCTGTGACATTTTCAATTAGAATCACATTTTCTTACTTGGGATTTGTTATTGCCCAGAAATGAAAGGTTTCCAGTCTTTACCAGAAGAGATCGTATGTAAAAATTTTTGAGCAGTCTTAAGTCATGAATGAAAATAGAAAGGCGTATGCTGGAGACCTCAGAAAATCATGCAGGTGACTGACTGAGGTTTCTGGGGAGGATGGTGGTGAACCAGGCCTCATGATTGTCCAGATCGGAGAGTAAGATCAAGATAAGTCCTTGAAAAGGGCCCTTGAGGGCAGCCAGTGGTTGTCAGTTCTTGGCTGCTCAGGAGAATCACCTGGAACATTTATGTGTTTTTGTTACCTGAATTCCATCCTTACAGATTCCCATTTAACCTGTTATGATGGTACCCAGGCAAGAGCATTTTAAGGTCCATGGGGGATTCCAGTTAATATGCAGCTAGGGTTGAACATCACCATAGAAGCAACATGAGTGAATCAGTCACTGGCCTGATTGGTAGGTGGTCCAGGTTCTTTTAATGAACTGAGGTGACCAGTTAGAATACACTAAGAACAGTTTTCTTAAAAACTTTGGGGAAAAATGAACAGCAAGTTAGGTTCCATGATAGCTTAACTAGCTTTCTAAGCTCATGTCTTTGAAAAACCAGATCCAGTATTTATGCAACAGATAATGTGCATATGGCTAATTACAGTTTGACAGTCTTTACATGCATAAATTTATGGTTACAAGCATATGTTTGTTTTTGCAGGGAGAAAACAAATCTGAGTATTTTTTAGGATTAACTCCGGTTGGTGTTGTTGTCTATAAGAATAAAAAACAAGTGGGAAAGTATTTCTGGTAAGTTTAATTTGAGGGCAGAATTGGTATTAAAGTGCACTGTATGTATTGGGCTTATGGAACTTGAATGTCATTGAAAGTGTTGGGGAATAGCAAACAGACATTTCCAGTGGTTGATAGTAAATGAGTGAAAGTGGGTAAAAGCTTTCTTCTGGTTCATCTCAGTGTATATGTTCTCTGTAAATTTCAGGTATTTTGATCCTAGACTCTCTTGTCCATGGAGGCTGTATATAGTAGGATTTCCTATCCATTCCAGTGTGTGCTGGGGAACTGTGGGCCGGGACCGCTCTGAGTTCTGACTCTAGATGAGGAAGGATCTGAGCGAGATTGGGGAGCCCATAGCACTACATGGTGTCTGGAAGGGCTGCACTGCCAGGGCCTGGGGGTGCCAAGCTCGTCTGCATTCACTGGAGAAGCCCAGGAGAGTGAGAAGGAAGTGTGTTTAGGAAGGTGTCCAGAGCAAAGGATATCCAGGGAATTCTGTACAGTTACAGTAGCAGCCTAGGAAGGGGCCAGTGGGAGCAGTCTTTTTTTTCCACTGGATACTTCTCTGAATTTCTGATTAATTCTTTTTTTTTTTTTTTTTTTTGCGGTCGAGAGTTTAATACACCTTTGGGTTCACACAGTGCAACAGGGGTAGGGGGACAGGATGCACAGGCTCCTGGGCCACTGCCCAGCCGAAGAGGGAGGTGTCGCCGGCTGCCGCACCTGCCACGTGCTCCTGGTGTGGGTGACTGATTAATTCTTAAAAGCAGCAGTAGCACCACCATCTGCTTTGTTTTTCAGGCCTCGGATTACAAAGGTTCACTTCAAGGAGACCCAGTTTGAACTCAGAGTACTGGGAAAAGATGTAAGTTTGTGTTTAGTGCTTGGCTTCCCTGAGACGGGAAGCTTTGTCTGCTTTGTCTGCTCATTGATAACTTAGAAGACCGAGTAAAGTAAAACTGCCGTGTTTTCTTCAGCTCCAGCCACATGGAACCAGGTTAATTGACTCATGTAAACAACTCCTTTTAAAGGAAGGGAAGGGGAAGTGAGTATAAATGAATGAGTTGGTAATGGAGAAATGTCACTTCAGTTTTAACTAAGGGAAAAAAAAATAACCTTTGTAGGGCACAGGAGAGAATAGGAGGTGATTATCATTATTCATTCTTTTAGTATTGTCTGTGAAGGTAAGATTCATGTAATCAGAAGGGTGCAACCTTAATGCAGGACCAAACATGTCCTAATTTTGTCTCAAAGTCAATTGAACAATCTATAGGAAGTCACACTTCTGTTCTTTCCCTAGTTGAGCATGGTAGGTAAACCAGATGAGAAATTCTAGATGCTTTCAAGGGAGTGTAAGCCAAGGGTGCAAAAATGCTGACCGTCCTGCTGCAGCTTGGCAGAGACCTACAGGACTGCTTGGGTAGTAGGCACAGGATTTGTTAGAGCCTCAGGGTGCTCTCGTGCCTCGACAAGTAGTTTTAAGGAAACCGGGCAAAAGAAGACAAGAATATGAAAGCTTCCTTTTAATCTCCCTGTGAAAATAATGCTTCCTTGAAGTGCTGTTACTATAATTCATGTTTATGGGATATGCAGGTGAAAATATGATGTAGGAGAATCCACCCTTCTGTCTCTTTAATACTAACTTTATGCTGAACAGAATTTAAGTGAATGCTGTTGAATTGACTTTCTAATAAGATGCTTGTAAAAAGAGGTAAATACAATCTGCTGATGCAGCCACGAACTAAGACACAGAAAGAAAAGTGGCTGCAACCACGGTTGGAACATAATATCTGGCTTAGTGTCCTGCATGCAGCAGGTGCTCAGTAAATACTTGTCACCTGGTCAGTGAACTGGTGTACTGGGATGGTGGGCTGCCAAAGCATAAAACTTGGTACTGCTGTTTGTTCTTCTCGAAAAAAATGCAGTGATTGCTCCCATAATCGTGTGACGTGCTATCAGAGTGTTTAGTGGGAATGTGATAGCAGGAATTCCCTGGCAGTCCAGTGGTTAGGACTCCACACTTCCAACTACTGGGGCCTGTGTTCAGTCCCTGATCGGGGGAACTACAGTTAAGACCTCACAAACTACATGGCCTTGAGAGGGGAAAAAAACCAAAACATGATAATAAAATGGTAAGACTTTTTCATGGAAACATTGCTATTATTCAAAGTCGTTTTCCCATTGAGACCTAACATTTTTGTGAATGAGGTCCTTTGGTGAACTGTTTGTACATTATTACCAGACTGCCTTATAATGCCTTCTGCCGCCTTGAGATAAATGTTTGGTAAAGTTGCAGCTAACTTGAACTTTCAATTTCTTACATTTCTTCATTATTAGGCGAAAACAACAATAAAATCGATGTCAGTGTGTGACTTTTTATTTTTTAATGGCAGTCTCCGGGGGTGGCCTGGTTTCCTACACACACAGCTCCGGCCCTGTGCCCTGGCACTTCTGAGAAAGCGTGACCGTTTGTCACTGTGTGTCCTGAGGCACTATGCGCTCCTGGCTCTGTTAGTGGCTGTGGTCTTTAGTGAGGTGACAGAGCAGGTCCCGTGTAACTCATGCTTGAATCGAAGGGATTTAAATTTTTGTTTTACACATGAAAAGATGCTTAACAACGCTCATTATCAGAGAAATGCAAATAAAAACCTCAATGAGGTACCATCTCACCCCGGTCAGGATGGCTGCTATCCAAAAGTCTACAAACAATAAATGCTGGAGAGGGTGTGGAGAAAAGGGAACCCTCTTACACTGTTGCTGGGAATGCAAACTAGTACAGCCACTATGGAGAACAGTGTGGAGATTCCTTAAAAATGACCCAGCAATCCCACTCCTGGGCATACACACCGAGGAAACCAGATCTGAAAGAGACACGTGTAACCCCAATGTTCATCGCAGCACTGTTTACAATAGCCAGGACATGGAAGCAACCTAGATGCCCATCAGCAGATGAATGGATAAGGAAGCTGTGGTACATATACACTATGGAATATTACTCAGCCATTAAAAAGAATTCATTTGAATCAGTTCTAATGAGGTGGATGAAACTGGAGCCTATTTTACAGAATGAAGTAAGCCAGAAAGAAAAACACCAATATAGTATACTAACGCATATATATGGAATTTAGAAAGATGGTAACGACGACCCTATATGCAAGACAGCAAAAGAGACACAGATGTAAAGAACAATCTTTTGGACTCGGGGGGAGAAGGCGAGGGTGGGATGATTTGAGAGAATAGCATTGAAACATGTATATTATCATACGTGAAACAGATCGCCAGTCCAGGCTCGATGCATGAGGCAGGGCGCTCAGGGCTGGTGCCCTGGGATGACCCTGAGGGATGGGATGGGGAGGGAGGTGGGAGGGGGTTCAGGATGGGGACACGTGTACACCCGTGGCTGATTCATGTCAGCGTATGGCAGAAACCACTACAATAGTGTAAAGTAATCAGCCTCCAATTAAAATAAATTAAAAAAAATAAAATTTTGTTTTATTAAATAATATATTAACCAAAGCCCACCATTTCCCTGAGTATTATGGCTTTGCAGAGTCTTGCTCCTTTCTCTACTAGGGCATCTCTTTGTGAGGCGGTGATTTATATGTTAGAATAAAGTTGATTAATATGGAGGCCTAACTGTTAATCACAGATTAAATAAGCCCCCTGAAACCTATTACCTGGATCAATAATCACCATCAATTTGAAAAATGATTGAGGGCCTTATTCTGCTGGTTTTCTGGTTGACTGCTCTAGAGACTTAACTACGTATGTTAAGTGCTGTTAGGGCCAAATTCAGAGATTGAGTTCCCAAAAGAATAGCAATGTCCTGTAGATAAAATATTTTCCTGGGATCCCACTGTGGCACTAATGCTGTCCAATTCCACTTTTAAATATTAACTGTGCCCAACATAACACATTGACATATTTTAATATTAACAATATTTAATGTGTACTGATGATCTGTCTATATATTGCTTTGCAAATAGCAAATAGCTGTCTGTAACTAAGTACTGGTTTTATAAAAGTTTATCCCTCTGACAGGTTCAGAAGCTAATTAGTATAAATACGTTTATGCATTATTTAAGCTTCCTAATAGGTACTGTGGTTTAAAAAAAAGTCTTACATGATGATTGTAGAAATCTGGGAGTTACACTATGAAAAAGAAAATTTAAATTATCTAATAATTTAGATTTCAAAGGTAATGATTATGATTTTACTTTGGTACACTCTCTCAGATTTTTGCCCCGTTAGAGTGAACATTTAATATATGTATATAGGCATGTATATATGTTTCATCTCCATGTGGTTTTGTACACAGTTTTTATACTTAATAGCATATCACAAATATTTCTCCTTTTATCATATATATTCATGTTGTACCTGCATAATGTTTGGTTATGTGTTTTTTCTTAATGTTGCAGTTAACATTTATTTCCTCCTCTTATATCTCATAACTTTTTTTTTGCTGATAGAGGTGAAAGCTATGGAATTTTATGTTTATTTCAAATATGGATGTTTTGTTGAATTCTTTTGTTTTAGTCAGGAGTTTTAATTTGATACATAGACCTTTTATAGCTATATAGTTATATCAGTCACAGGTAAAATTAGTGTATACTCTTGTTTCTGTTATTTAATAAACTTTTGTATTTTATAGTATTGGTCACAAATTCTAGAAGAGTGTCAAGTGATCTAGCCATATAAAGAATTCTTGGTTGGTTTTTTATTTTAATGAAAACACCACTATTGTTTTACAACATGTATGTCAGCTCTTGGTTTTAAGAATGTGTTCATTACCTGAGTTTACATTTTTTAAAAGTTTGGATGAAATGCTTGATTTTCACTGAATGCCCTGAGAGCCAAGATTGCTGCTTCTTCACTTATTCAATAAGTAATGCTGATTTCAAAAATCCAGATGAGAGAAGATAGTGACTTGGACCAGAGTCATAGTACTTCAAGTGCTGAGAAGCTGTTGGATCTGGGTGCAGCCACGTGGTTTTATGGATGTGGGGAAATATGACTTGGTGACTTAAGTGTGTTTGGCACCGACCGCAGCAAGAATGGAGCTGCCGTCAAGGGAGGTGGGGGAGGCTGTGAGTAGAGGGGCTCAGGGGGGAACCAGGAGGCCCACTGTTAGCACGCTGAGCCTCAGATGTGTGGCCCATGTCTCAACTGGGGACCTTTGGGAGACATATAGGAGATAAAGTTAGCATGTGGAATCTCAGATGTCTGGTAGACATTTAAATGGGGACATTTGGGAGACATGTATAATAACAACATTCTTTATATTAATAGGAGGTAAGGTTGTTTCTGATTGGTAGCAGATTGAATGATTTGTGAAAATAGGGAGGAGTTTAGGATCATACCCAAATTTCTTGGTTTCATTAACAGGGGAGAATGTAGTCTCCACAGTAGGCCCAGAAGTTGCCATGTACTAAGCACATTGTTGAATAAATGGGGAAAGAAATGATACTGTGATTATATTTACATGTAGTACATTGTGGAACTGACCTCAGCTAAACCCACCCAGTGTGACAGGATGTAGAACCAAAAGGTTTCTGGCAGCTCTGAACACAAGTAATTAGAACAACTTGGCTGAACTCTCTGCCTGCTTTTGGAAGAGGACACAGGAAGTGATGGTGGCCAGGAGCTGACACTGTTCGTCAACAAGCCCAAGAGGTCTTGGTTACACAAGCTAGGCATTCCTTTCATGCTTTAATTAGAACTACAGAGTTTTATTTATATATTTTTTTAATTTTAATCAATTCTTTTTTTTTTTCTTTAAATTATTTATTTATTTAACTTTACAACATTGTATTGGTTTTGCCATACATTGACTTGAATCTGCCATGGGTGTACATGTGTTCC